GCGTGGTTTATCAGCCTATAAACCATAAAAACTTGTGGTCCATTGCTTTTAAAATAACCTATCATCCTAATACCCCAATATCCTCATGCCCTAATACCCTAATACCGTAATAACCTAACGCCCTAATACCCTAATGACTTAAAACCCAGCACCCTAACACCCTGACACCTTAATACCCTAATACCCTAACACCGTAACTCCCTTAATTATACCCTTATACCGTAATAACGTAATATCCTAATACTATCATACCCTGATACCCTAATACCCCAATACCCGAATACCGTGATAACCTTTTACCCTAATATCCTAATGCCCTAATACCCTAATACCCGAATGCGTCAATCCTATTACCCTTATACCCTAATATCCTAACAGCCTAACACCTTAACACCCTAATACCGTAATACTTTAAAACCCTAAAACCCTTATACCCTAACACCCTAGTAATCTAATCCCATAACACCCTAATACGCTAATAAACTGATTTCCTAATACCCGCCCCTAATATCCTAATATCCTGATATTCTAATACCCTTATAACACAATACCTAAATAACCTAATATAGTGCTACATGTGTACCCTAATAGCCTTATACCCCTCTACCCTAATACCCCAATACCGTTACACCCTAACACCGTAACACCCTAATACCCTAATAATGTAAAACGATACACGTGCCTGCAATATTGACTAATACAGTGATTTCAGGAGCTTTATCTACTGGTCAGCGGAATTACTCCAAAATATTTACAGATGATGAAAGGACATTATTTGCAAATCATTTGTATAATCTGCAACACCACTAAAACAATATAGATTGCTTACGAAATCTTCGGGTTAAAAAGGCATAACACGTCAGAATCCTTGAGTCGCAGCAATAAAATAAATATGAGGAGCAACGAATATACATCTCTTGATGGGAGCGAAGCCGGTACCCGTCCATTAAACGTGCCTTCTTAATCAAATTACTTAAGTAGGCTTAACCTATATTCCCGGGGAAACTGATATTTGAAAATCAGATTAGAAAACTACAATGTACCTACAGTGCAGGGTTGTACATACTTACTTGCACTCAGTTCAGATTTTCCTTACAATGTGCTTGCAGCACAATAAAATGCATTTCATTGATGGTTGGCTAAAGGGATCTTTGTGCTGCCACTTGCTAGTAACGAAGAAATTACAGCCGTCCAACTTGAAGCTATGCATGATTTAAGTCAGTCCATATTTAACAAGCCTTGACACACTCGTGATAGTTGATATTCTCTTTTTTGTTTCCTTTTTTTAGGTAGTAATCCGTGTGACTCTAATCCATGTCAAAACAATGGCGTTTGTAGACGAATCGAGGGCGACAAGTATTATTGCCAATGCACTGAAAAATATTATGGAACAAACTGTGAATGTAAGTAAAGTACACACCCAAGCAGAGATAACCATTAATCGAGGACGTAATCGTTTTTATAGTCTTGAGAGAAAGTTTTATATTCTACGTGCCAATCTTACTTTCGTTAAAGGAATAGAAGTAATAGAAGACTTAATCAACAGTTTAACCCTATTCTGTTTGGGCGAGAGTGACTGGAGAACAAAAGAGTCCTCAGGCTAATCTCTACTTTCTTGGCCTAGACTGTTCACAGGCCTCTATTTTTTCGTTTATTTTTATCGATCGTTGAAAGCGGATAGAATCGCTAGAGAACTGGACGCCAGTGCAAAACGGGAGACTTGACATGGTAGGGTGTGGGGAACGAGAAAAAGGGAAGGAATGTGGACATCTTCGGCTGAAAAAGGAATTGTCGTTTCTCCAGAAACGAGGAATTCCCACTGGTTGAAAGAAGACAAAAGTCTTATCACCTTGACAACAGCCGATCATGATTGCGTCTAGGCGCGTTTGTAGCAGCTGAAGCGGTTCGCAGAAGTTGTCATCTTTAACACATGCCGTGATTCGTAATGGAACGATTGTTAGAATTGTGTTTAAAGAAATTTTCACATGTTTCTTCGCTCATAGATGAACAGAAAGAGGTTGTTGCTCATCTTCTTCGTTCGAAGGACGTTGTCCCAATTTTGCCGACCGGCTCAGTCTGGGAAAAGTATGAAATATGAACACAGCGCAACGACAAAAGAAATACAAATGGTGCGAATGTTGATGTTCTAATTTTTTCCCACTCAAAAGCATCATGAAAGAACAAATAATAGTCGCAATGGAAGAGCTTGGCATTTCTTCCATCGTTTTGCCAACAAAGAACGACGTGCTTCCACCGATTGGAGAACAGAAATACCAGCTTGTTTTCGGTGCAGCCGAAAACTTTTTAGATGCAAAATTGCAAAAAATGTTGAAGAATACAGATTCTCTGCTACACAATTGTGTCACGCTTAGCGTAACACTTTACCAAATTCCCCCGGCGAATAGCAAAGGAGCAAGCGCATATCCTAAAAAAATCGAAAGGAAAGCTTGATTTCTGCTTTTCTCCCTTCTTGTAGGTATTTTTTGAAGCAACGGTCGTCTGATTAGACGACATCCTCGACACATACGTGTTGTTAAAAAAGAACAATTTACCGCTTGAATTTAATTGGTTCGATTTATTTAATTAGTCAAGAGGCGGAGATGTTAGCGACAAGGCGATAACAGGGGTAGGAATCTAATAAAACCACTTTTTTTAAAAAATATGTCTACACTCTCCATATATTCTTCGTTTAGCTCGCTTGGCTCGCCTCCCCGCTCCCATCCCCGCGTGCTTCGCGCACGCTTGGCTCGCCTCCCCGCTCCCATCCCCGCGTGCTTCGCGCACGCTTGGCTCGCCTCGCCGCTCCCATCCCCGCGTGCTTCGCGCACGCTTGGCTCGCCTCCCCGATCCCATCCCCGCGTGCATCGCGCACGCTTCGCTCGCTGTTTTTTTTCGCGTGCACTGAAAAATAGAGACTGTGAGCAGTCTATACTTGTGCCATCCGAAAAGTACTTTAAAAACTTATGTAACATTTCCTTCAATTATCATGGTAGGATTGGTTTTATAATCGAAATTCAGGACAGTCTTTTAAAACAGATCTAGAGCCACGTGTACAGCTTGAGTAAACAAAGTTGTAGTCTCAAAAATAACTACTCCTTTACATTTATTTCATTTAGGCACAGAATGTACATGCAACAACCCTTGCTTAAACAATGGAGTGTGCATAGACATTGGAACCCACGTGTTCAAATGTCAATGTGCTGCTGGCTTCACTGGGACTACCTGCGCAGGTCAGTATAATAACACGCTGTAAAGCCGAGGTTAAGAAAACATGATCACCGTTTGCAGATACTGTTTAATATGATAACACTGTTTCATTATGAAAGCAAATCAAAGTTAACGGAAGCATTTCTCAATTTCATTAGGGCTCTCTTAAGTCATTCAAAGTGCTATAAAAAAGCTTTTTCAGTGCTATTTCTGTTACGACATGTATCTTTATAATAGTTCTTAAAATCCTGAATCCAAATATAAAGACGATTAATGATATTATAGATAAGAAACTCTAAATTAATCAGCTTCTTTGCCATCGAAACTCAGTTTTTTGGAAACTAAGTGTTTAACATAGGGATTTATTTCCACCTTTCATTGAGACAATTGTGATTGATTGAGCCAGTTCGATTCGAAGCTATAATCTCAACTATTCGAGTTTGTGGTGTAACCTTAATTATATTCAATCTCTCAAATAAAAAAATACAGAAATTGTTCCAACGATTGGTCCAGGATCCTGTCTTTCAAGGCCGTGTTTAAATGGTGGAACCTGTCTTGACAGAGCATCTGGATCTTATGACTGCATTTGTCCCTTGCAGTACACGGGTCCTCATTGTGATGGTATGTTATCCGAGTTAGCTCTTATCTTCCGTGGTAGGAGATATTTATGAACCTATTGAATTTTTAGTTATCATAAATCTATCTGAAAACAACTTGCACGAGTCCTTTAATTGGACTGCAAAGTATAAGTGCATGCTCATGATGTATTCCAGAGGTGGGCTTATTAAGATAAATGGTTTAAAGAACTCTAAAAACTTCTTTTCAAATAACCTTTTATGCCATGCGACAGCAGTCTAAGATGGCTGGAAAATAGCAAATATAAACACATCAATAACAGACTACATCGCCTTTTTTCTGACTTCCTTTAGTTGATAAGTGTGCAAACTGCGATGTTAACGCCGATTGCATCAGTGGCAGATGTCGGTGCAGGATGGGATATGTCGGAACTGGATACGCTTGTGTCAAAGGTAAAATATGATTAAGTTTTCTAACGTAGTTTTCGTGTATTCTTATTGTTGTTTCCATTGCTTTTTAACTATTTTTGGAAAGAAGAGTTATATTTTGAAGTGCGGTGCTTTGGCCCCTTTCTTTCACTCCTAAAACGCGGAAGCTCTAAAACAGAGAAAGGAAAACAAAGGAAAACGGAGAAATCGAGAAACGCAAAAGATGGCCAACTATGACTGTTGCTTCCTTTAGAATGATCGCACGCTATTCTTTCAGTTACTGATTTTCTTAATTAAAATGGACTCAAGCTATACTTCCTGACCAGGGCGCTTCTGCCTCCGAACACTAAGGAGAGGTTGTAAGCTAATAGTTTTAACTGTTTAACTGCAGATGACAGAGGTAAAGGATGTGGAGAAGTACTTTGCCCCATCAATCAGCATTGTGTACGAGGTTTCTGCATCTGTTTGCCAGGATTTCATTGTTAGGTATGATTTACGTTTGACCCTTTAGCGTCTAAACCATAAATATCATGAAGAACTGAACCCACGCCTTGCATAACCCTGTTATGCAACACTTCAGTTATTTACTCCATCTAATTAAACTTGATGGAAATGCAGAGGACAATCGGGTGCAGCTCGTGTATTTAACCGTGTTGTTATCATGATTTGCTGTGCAAGTGTTTATTACTGTCCCTTTGATAACATGATTGTAAATATGTTTCCTCTGAGTTTCACTGTCCGCGCTCAAAACAAAACCGGAGATTTCACAACTACTTCCCTATGTCGGGAAAAGATGAAGTCGAAATAAGGATGTACACATAGGAGTAAACAACTTTCTTACCAGTAGTAATGTGCGCCATAATGTTAAATATTATTTTAATCTTCACAAGTGATTTCTCAAAAACACATTAACGAAGCATAATTATTTTCTTGGATATATTGCAGTATTGGCGTCATCAAGTAGATGGACCTGGTGGAAGAAATTGAAATAATTCCAAATAGGAAATTTGTAGCATCATGAAAGTGAAGATCTAGAAATAAAGATGTGTTTGCCACTTTACTAGCTTCATGTTACAACTTCATATTGGATCAACACTGTGACGATAGATGAAAATCAGGAAACGCTTTCCACTATTTTTGTTAAGTGGTTTCTGAGAAAGCAATGAAACGAGCTGAAATAGGACAGGCAAGACTGTCACTACAACCTTTTCAGGTATGAACGGTTCATTCGGTCTTTTATCCTGCCTCTCGTAGGCAGCGAGGGCCTTATGCCAAGCCGGCTCAGAGAAACAGGTGGTTCTGAGGACGAGAATGGCTTTATCTACGTTACAAAAACAGAAACGTCCACACGTAACTGTGACTAAAACATAATTATAACAGGACCCTGTACTTGAGCTGATAATCTCTAAACAACAAAGACATACGTAGGTCCATATAAACTGAGTTATAACCCAAGATTGGGTTTAGTAAATTACTGATTGGTGAAAAGTCGGATAGGTATGAACGTGGAGGAAAGCCAATAACTGATATCAAAACCAATTCCAGTAATTCCTAATGTTGACAAGGTGTTTTATTAAAATAGAAATATAATTATAATACTAGGATTACTCTTCCAAAGCGCTGTTTTATAGCCTCATTTGGCTGAAGCTCTACGTTTCAGCCCTACGGTCAAAAGTTGGACATAAAATAATAATTCGAGGTACGCCGATAGTATTAAAGATCTGAAAGGCGTATAGCTAGTTTGATCATCACTGCATCTCTTGATATGAAGCTGAAAGAGAATATATCGATCGTCGTTCCTTTTGATGGCCTCAAGAAAAACAGAACGCCGCCATATGCATTTCTAGTCTTCCATCTTATCATCACAACGTAGTGCAGTTGCTTCAGTTTGCATCTAAAATACAGAAAAGACCAAGTAATAAAGCAGCTAAATTAAAAAAAATTCTCTTTTTACATCACATACCGATCTTAATACTTACCTATTATCTTGCAAGTATTATCGATGAAGTAAAATCCTGAAATACAAGAGCATTCACCGTCCACACAAACGGCATTCAGCGGACAAGTGTTGCACTCAGACTCTGTAAAGAGAAAAGGATTCTGTCAATTCAAGATTAAGTATTAGCGCCAGTGATTATGTCCTTCATCCGATCGAAATTGAACTTAAAGCCCAGGATCGAGACGAGAATAGGAGAATTGTGGATTCCCTATGCTGCATAGAGGAGTGAAGGGAATGAGAGGTGAAAGGAAACCGCATCTGAACTACAGATAGAATATCTGGTGAAGATCTTATGATCCACACTGTTTCACGGAAGCCTCGAGTTTGTTCTTATGTCAAGAAACGAACTTGCTTAAATCGCAAAGAACTGTGAGAATCTTTTCGTCACATTACAGCCTAGAGTGCTTGTAAAACATTCGACGTACTTTTACAACATTATGACGGCCATTTGTAACAGACCTACGAAATTCTCTCACCCAGGTGGGGCACTAGGCTCGGTTTCTAGCCGTTTTGGGAGCCCGCGTATCATCTTCCTCCCAACGTGTAGTGCAACGAACGCGGGCTCACAAAATGGCCGGAAATCGAGCCTGGTAGGGTACAGAAAAATCAACCAAGGTCTTTCCCGTCATACACACAATACCTGGTTTACAATCTCCTTTCAGTCCGCTGCCCCTGAAACCCGTTCTACACTTGCAATGACCGTTGTTGCACATCGCGTGCACGTCACAATCAATACATTTGTCTCCTGAAAACAAGGAAGAGATACAGCAAAGAAGACAGAAGCCATACTTACTATGAAAGTGCTACTAATATATAGATTTAGCTAAGCCTAAAAGCGGAGCTCCTGGCCGGGTTGTTCGAAGCGCGATTAAGCTAACCCAGGATAAGCGAGAATTTTAATTGGGGTTACCGCTAGTTATGTTGACCATGAAAAAAGAGTTGCGTGGTTTTCCATTTTATGCATGCATGTGGTTCTGTTCAGTTATTGGGCTCCGCTTGGCGCCCCTTCGGCCCGCCGGAGCTCCGCTGTGATCAAATTTTTTCCCCTTGAATTTTTAGGTTCCATGAAAACTCAAAAACACCTTTTACGGTTTGCAAATATCTGCATTGTCTCCAGTGAAATTTAGGCTTGAAAAATGTGAAAAATACGCAAATGAGAGGACTGATGACGTCATAGACTCAACCCAATATTACATCAAGTATATAAATGTAAATATATGGAAGGAAACTTAACGGAAAAGATCCCGTCCAAACAAGAGAAACTCGAAGGAATCTTTTTCTCGTACATTATTCAATATATTCTTACTTTCATTATAGAAATTTAGTTTGCTCAATCTGCCAATTGTACAGTCATCAAAGTGACCATTCACTAGTCCAAACACAAATTTTAAATATCTTTGACTTAATATAACAAACCAAACTATGAAAAAGCGAAACGCATTTTGTTTGCTGTATTTTCGATTTCCAAGTAGCGGGTCTCACATGGATTTCTTTCCGTAAACACAAGTCAGTGAATTAGTGATAAAAATTCACGAACTGACTCAACCTTTTTACCCCGACAGATCCTCAGAGTAAAAGGGTACAGTCTGGGTAACTCTGGCGTTTATCTGGTAGCGCTTATCGTAGTTATAGCCTATAATTAAGTCAGCCAGGCCGCGTTTATTTGACGTCATTCCGTCCGACTCGAAATTGGCGGGATGACGAAAAACCTGCTACTGACTTGGCATCCTTCACCAGGTCAGCAAAATCTATTTTTTTTTCCAAGCGATTATCCATTTCACTATCTTCAGTGCTCTCATTTCAGAGTTTAGAGCATGTTTGGCTCAAAATAATACGGATCAAGAGCAGCAATTGCGAGCGCGGCCATGTTCTTCGGTGGATTAAAACATCAGAGACAGCAACTGGAACGCAAGTTTTATTCGTACACAACGAAAACTTCTACATCACAACATGGACTCGTGTAACAACTCAATATGGTGCAATACATAGCCTCAACCTGGTGTTGAGCTTACAACTACTTTCGGTCTAAATAAAACACTTCCGGTTTACATAAGTTGAATTTGTATCTTAACAGCAATAACCTAGAGTGGTAGTTAAAAGGCTCTTCGTAAGCCATTTCGACAAAATCTCTCGGACGGAATGACGTCACGAAAACGCGGCCTGGCTGCTGAGTACTGTTCAAAATGGCGGCAACGATGTTCGAATTTTGGGCTTCTTT